TACTACTAGTATGGTTCAGTACTGTTTTTGTTAATAAAGCACTTATTTTAGTTTTTGTTCAGTATCAATTTTAAAACAATCGGTTAATTAATCGGTATCGGCCAGTGTGGTCCAACCTAGCTATCGGTATCGGCAAAATCCACTATCGGTCGACCTCTACTTTAGAATACTGTTAAAAATAGCACTTATTATGGAAATAGGTATGTATACTTAAGTGTGAACTGAACGTATTGTTTTCAGATACTTAATTGCATGTTATTTTTCAATTCAATTAAAATGTATTATAATTTAAATTTGTTAAATGAGTGTTTTTTGACCCACTTAAGTAGGACTTAAGTACATCTTTATCCCCCGGTTTCACAGACAAGGCTTAAAAAGAAACTTGCACTGACTGATCTTAAAATATATCAGTGCCTTTGTTTTGTCTCAAGATGCACACCAGTAATGTTTTTTTTCTAAGCACATTCATAAAAAAATGCTTAAATGTCCTAATTGAACTTTGATCTAATCCTGGCTTACTCTAAGCCCCGTCTGTGAAACCGGGTCTATATGTAATTCCATAATTACTTCTATTGTCTTTAAATTATGGTTAAAGTACTGCTGAATGTACTGACAAGCATTTATGATCAACTACAATATACTTTAATGTCACTTCTATTGAAACTCGTCTGTCATGCATTTAATATATATTTGTAATTACACATTTGTAATGATGAAGTTGCAATTTAGTGCATATAAACTATATTAACTTTAAATGTAATATCAAACAACACACTAAAGTTAACATGATAATCAAGTACTTAACTTGTGATTTTTAAAACTTTGACATTATTTCAAATTGCACTTTTTAAAAGTGTACTTAAGTGTGTTCAGAAACAGTCATGAAAGTGTCTCTCTTTAAGTCACTTAAGTGGCCTTTTATTTCATTAATACTATATTATCTGCAAGTTTTATAAAAATATACTCTTCAGATTTGAAGTAGACTACAAGTGCACATTCAATACAATTAAGCTCACTTCTTTTTCCCAGCTCTGTTCTATACGAGTCCATAACTTTCAGACTGACATTAGATGGTTTCCTTCTTCCACACAGGCTGTTAACAGCGTTCCGCTCTGCGGTTCATAAGTATGTGAGTGAAGAGAGCGAGAGGGGATGCCGCTGGGGATTTGATAATCTCCATTCCTCTGTTCCAGCATAACTCGCATACTTCAGACCGAACGGCTGCTGGTGCCAAACTCTCCATGAACACACAGAGCTCCAAAACCCCAAATCTGCCCAACCAGTGAAGCTTCTCCCTAAATAATAAGGCTGTGTCTTACTTATGAATATTTCACAGCATTTGAATTGTTTGGGATTTGAATAATCATGTAATCTCAATCAGATCAAGGGAGCAAAGATTAAAAGCAGACTGTCAAAACATGTCATTGCATAATTAACTGAGACACAAATCTGATAGATATAAAAAATATAGATATAGATATATAAGTTTACATTTCCAAGCATGTACAGTGCTGTTCAAAATAATGGGTCGGTAAGATTTTTTT